AATAATATATATATATATATATATATATATATATATATATATATATATATATATATATATATATATATATATATATATATATATACGCTCTGCGCATGTCTGGGTGCGTTGAGTCACCGTGTTGTACCACATGCCTTGGTGAGAGCAAGTTCATGGGATATAAATACGAGTGTCTCACGTATCTAGATGTGTACCAAGCTGCACTGACGAGGCGTAGAACGCCGAAACATGCATGTCTGCAGATTGTACTATATATATATATATATATATATATATATATATATATATATATATATATATATATATATATATATATATATATAATATAATATAATATAATATAATATAATATAATATAATATAATATAATATAATATAATATATATAATATATATAATATATATAATATATATAATATATATAATATATATAATATATATAATATATATAATATATATAATATATATAATATATATAATATATATAATATATATAATATATATAATATATATAATATATATAATATATAATATATATAATATATATATATATATATATATATATATATATATATATATATATATATATATATATATATATATATATATATAATATAATATATATATATATATAATATAATATATATATATATAAAATATAATATATAATATATAATATATAATATAATATATAATATATATATATATATATATATATATATATATATATATATATATATATATATATATATATATATATATATATATATATATATATAAGTGCAACGACTCAACAAATTCCACTATAGGCATCTTTATTACTATTAGTTTCGTACCACAAGATGTGGCACTCATAAGATAAATTAGCCTTATGACTACAGCAAAAAACCTACAGTATTTATGTACAAGTGGATGAAAGCTTTAAATTAATCCTATTTACAAAGCACGCACAGCAATTATTATGTTACTTGATAAAATTGACAGGACGCGGAAGTATTAGCAACACATCAGCATAATACGGTGGCCCGTTAGGGACACGCTTGTTCCGTAAACTAATCACATTCGTTCTGTGTACTTGAAGTAGTTTTCCTTAATAACAGAGCGTTTCACTGTATAAATGTGCGGCGTTTCCGTAGAAAATTCAGACGACTTCCGCAGAAATATAGACGCTTTCCGTACAAATGTAGACTTCTTCCGTACAAATGTAGATGCCTTCCATAGAAATGTTATACATGCCTTCCGTACAAATGTAGACGCCTTCCGTGGCATGTAGTAAAACACTGACTACCGGAACACCGGAACACCACCGGAACACCACCTAACCCTAACCCTAACCCCAACCCTAACCCCCAACCCTAACCCTAATCCTAACCCTAATCCTAACCCTAACCCCAAACAAAATGGTGGTGTTCCGGTGTTCCGGTGGTGTTCCGGTAGTCAGTGTTTTACTACATGCCGCCTTCCGTAGCTAAAACTAATGCGCGCGCATAGTCTGGCAACTATGGTAACTTCAGTTGCTATATTATGCAAAATGGCGGCATGTAAACAGCGTACGCACGAATTTGTTCTTCCAAATTGCAATTTTTGTCCCAATGGCGGTCATAAGCAACAAGTAAGATCGTACAAGCAATTGTAGTATATGACAAATGTTTGGTATGATGTAAATGGGCGCTTTGTTGTTTTTAGGAAGTCGTCTGAATTTTCTACGGAAACGCCGCACATTTATACAGAAACGCTCTGTTATTAAGGAAAACTACTTCAAGTACACAGAACGAATGTGATTTTCTACGGAACAAGCGTGTCCCTAACGGGCCACCGTAGCATAACGCCAAACTAAATACTGTAGATTTTTTGCTGTAGTCATAAGGCTAATTTATCTGATGAGTGCCACATCTTGTGGTACGAAATTAATAGTAATAAAGAGGCCTAGCAGAATTTGTTGAGTCGTTGCACTTATTTAATTATGCTCTGGATATCCATTGAGCACTCTGCCAAATGTTTTTGTAAACAACGAAACCTAATTCTATATATATATATATATATATATATACCAACGCGATGTTTCGGGATTCCCAGTCCGTATAGTTACGAAGAAAATAAATTCACATCAATGAAGAAGAATGTTAATTTTAAATAAACAGTGTGTTTTATTACATTTGTTTTATTTTATGACTTTATGTCAACATAGTTCAATTTGAAACTAGCAGCCCACTTAAATAAAATTGTTTTCATTTCTACAGATTAAAAGGAAATAAAATTGTTTTCATTTCTACAGATTGGTGGCATTTAATCAACCTGGCCCAAAATAAGTTTGCAAGTCAATCCGCAACGTCAAGTAATGCTCCAGCAAGAAGAGCGGTTGATGGTAACAAAAATTCCGATTTTCGTAGATATTCATGTACGCACACACCGCAGACGAACTCCCCATGGTGGCGAGTGGATTTGCAGAACGTGGTAGGTATAATTGAAAGCTGATTTTTTTTATAATCCAAGTGAGCATATGTACTATTTACAACATGAGCGGCTGTGTTGTATCGGATGTACAAGGGGAGAGTTCGTCAGTGGCGTAGCTAGCTCCTTTGGGCGCCGCCTGGCTCAATCAATTAGGGGGTGCTGGACAAATATGACAAAGTGGCGACGTTGATTTATTTCAGCAATTTTGCATCTTTTTGACGTAGCCACTCTGTCATCGTCACTTTCAATGGGCAGGACCATGCAGGGACCCTATTCCAGTTAAAGCCGGGGTCCCTCTATAGCACAAAGTTACGCCACTGCCCGGATAAGAAACTTCCTGACGTCACAGTCTAAATCTAGTTGCAATCTGTGACGTCACGCGCATTGCCAAACTTCTCAGCATTTTTGTTCTTTCGCTATATTTTCCGCTTTAAAAGAGTAATATTGAAGCATAAACTGGTCTAATTGTTTTAAAAACATGCCTAAGCCACGACAAAGTATTCAAGGTAAATGTTTTTCGTCTTTGTTTTGTATTTTTTTAGGCAATTTTAACGAATTTTGCGATGCATTTTTCACTGTTTAGTGCTTAAAATATTTGCTAAAATTGACTGGAAATACTTAGAGATTTCATCGTAGAATGGCGTAGTTATATTTATTTGCTCTTTGACTAAAATGTTTTGCTGTACTATTGCTAAACATGCCGTTTTTTGAGAATTTGGTTTGCAACTAGGTTTGAACATCCAACCACGTCATCAGCCCATTGAAAACATTAGGTCACGTCAGCTAGTTTCCTATCCATTTATTTTATTATCCATGATATAACTTACCGCAATACAACATGGACGCCAATGTTGTAAATGGCTTATGAAACGTCTCCATGAGAACGTTTGTATTATTCAACATTTTAAAATAAATGAATGATATTCGGTGAGAAAATTGAACTTAAAGTTTATGTAAATCAGCATAATTCTGTATCAGATATGCGGGGTGTCTAAATAAAAGTGAACTTTAGAAATTCACCTCTATTATAATATGAATGCCCGAGTAATATTTTATACATGGGAAGTTATTTAAAAGTTTTTGGTATCGTTCAATATATGAATATGATTATGTCACTGGCGAAATTTGGGTTTTGACCGGGCGAACCCGGGGGCCCATCATCACAATGGGCCAAATGGGGCCCCCCAGGCTGTAGAGCAAAAACATTGGCCAGGGAGGCCTCTGATATGTTACAATGTCGTCTTCTGACCATCAGAATTGTGTAAAATCTGTCCCCGAAGTCCAGGAAATGGCACTATTTCAGAGACTCTATAGATTAAAACATTTTCCGGGTGAGCATGTCCTGGGCCCCAAAGAAAACTCGTGCATATATACGGCGCTCGACTCGTGTCTTTGGCACTTCTCCTGGTCCTAGGGGGGTCTTTGAACCGGGGACTCCCTGATATAACGTTACGCCACAGGATTACGTGCTGATGAATTTAACGCAGCGCGTAAAACAGTAAAAACTCTTTGCTCATTGAAACATTCGTAATCGAACTGACGGGACCAATTTCGAAGTCGTTTTAACTTGAAATTAGAATTTTCATGTACAATTTATGGAGTTTTAACATGCTCGTATACGATTACAATGCATTCTGAACTCCCAGAGGTAAAATTAAAAACATCTTTCAAGTCAAGTAGGTACAATTGAAGTATTTTAGTCTTGAGTCGGGCCGACAATTTTAGGGTTATACGAGACAAAACATAGGGCCTGTTCACTGATATGAGCCGCCGTCATTAGCGAACTTAAGGCTTAACCTAGTACGGAGACCTTTGCCTCGTACCCAGGCGCTATGTGTTTTTCTATGGCTTGCGTGGTCGCGCGACGGTGTAGCACAACAAAGCGCCTGGGTACGAGGCAGCTGACAGGTCTTCAGTAAATTTTACACGTCAAAAGCTATGAGCTACCGTTACTTGGAACCTCAAAGAAGAAGGACAGAAATGCAACGACAACGGCTACTAATACAACTAGAAGTTACTATCGCAAGGAAAGTGCTGCCTCATCCCCAATGGATCAAAGCCAGCATGTACAATTTGCTGAATAAGGGGTTGTTTATATGATACTGCTTTGCCAGGACGAGATATGAGGCAGGGCGATTTCGATGTATTGAAATAAGTCATGGTCTACATAACATTTCAGTTCTGTTAACCAGCATTTGAAGTTTCATTTAGCCTAGTAACTTATTTCAATAGTCAATACTCAAAACCAATGATTTGGATTATTGCACTTCACTTGGTGGAATTAATATTAGAATGTTAGGGTTTGTAATCCAAGTGAGAATATATATATTTTAAGACCTAACCAGGAACAACTGCGAAAAATGCAGCACAAGGTCCTCTGGTAGGAATTGAACCTACGGCCCTGCGATTTCGGTGCAGCGCTCTAACCAACTGAACTACAGAGGCCAGCTGTTGAGCTGTAACCGCAAGCTCATGTGTAAGTCCACCTTATCACAACCCGCACACCCGATTACCTATATATACATGAACTTACGGTTACAGCTCAACAGCTGGCCTCTGTAGCTCAGTTGGTTAGAGCGCTGCACCGAAATCGCAGGGCCGTAGGTTCAATTCCTACCAGAGGACCTTGTGCTGCATTTTTCGCAATCGTTCCTGGTCAGGTCTTAAAATGTATATATATACTCACTTGGATTACAAACCCTAAGAACAGCATTCAAATATTAATTCCACC